CGTCTGGGGGTGATAGGCCGTTGACATCTTACTCTTGGTACTGAGCTTGGCCATCAATGCCTGCCAGAATTTGGATGCAAACCTGGTGTCTCTGTCCGTGATCCAGTCCTTCGGCCATCCGTGTACCGAAGTGACGTTTCGATAGATCACGTCCGCAAGCCGTTCCGCTGACCATGTTTCCTTGTATGGTAGGAAATAACTCCATTTGGTCAGCCTATCCACCATCACTAGGATGCTGTCGTACGTAACTCCTGTGGCGGTGTCGGTGAATAGCGGCAGCTTGGTAGTGAAGTCCATCGTTACCGAGCTCCACGGCCGTTCCGCGACTTCCAGAGGTTCGAGAAGTCCGTATGGCTTGTGTCTTGCAACCCTGGTTCTGCTGCATCGCTCGCAGGCCTGCAATGTTCGAGCCACCGCATCTTTCAACCTGGGAAAGTCGTCGTGTTGCCGTATCCGTGCTATGGTTTTCGTGATACCCATGTGTCCTCCAATCTTGGATGCGTGGATATCCTGGATGAGAGCATCTTGCTGCTCTGGCCATACATAGGCCTTGTCGTGGTACCATAGCTTGTCGTTCTGAAGGGCGACTCCTTCCTCCGGGTTGTCCTCCCACCTCCGTCGCTCTTCGGGAGTGGCGGTGGTAGCTTGATAGTTGGGGCCCTGTAGTTCAGCCCGATAGACGGCGCAGCACTCTACCCATTCTTGTAGCGGGTGTATGAGTGATCCGTCCGGTTGTTCCTGGAACAAAGGTGCAGAAGCTTCGGCTGCATCTTTCACATGGTCCGCCCGTCGGCTGAGCGCATCAACCCGAGCGTTCTCCGATCCCTTCTTGTAGTTGATCTGGAAGTTGAATTCTGATAGGAACTCTGCCCACCGCGTCTGTCGTCCGTTAAGTACCTTCGTGGTCGTGAAATACTTAAGGTTCTTGTGGTCAGTATAGACTAGCACTTCCTTGGTGGTACCGCTGAGGTATGGTCTCCACTCCTGGAAAGCCTCAATGATGGCCAAGAGCTCCTTGTCGTGAATTGGGTAGTTGCGACGAGATCCCTCTAGTTTCTTCGAAAAGAACGCTAGCGGATGTAGTTTTCCTTGGTCGTCGCGTTGTCCCAATTGTCCTCCGATAGCGTAATCTGACGCATCAGTCTCAACTTCAAATTGCTTGCTTGGATCAGGAAGTTTCAACACAGGGTCTGCGGTGACTGCGTCGAAAATGGCTTGGAAAGCTTCCTGTTCCTCCTTTTCCCATGTGAAAATGGCTTCCTTCTTGGTAAGCTCATACAATGGCCTGGCAATCTTTCCGTAGTCGCGTATAAACATGCGGTAGAAGTTGGTGAATCCTAGGAATCCGTGTACATCGGTTGCGTTCCTGGGAACAGGCCAGTTCCGTACAGCTTCCACCTTGCTTGGTTCCATCCTGACATCATTTTCTGAGATCAGATACCCAAGAAACACGGTTTTCTTCACATGGAATTCACTTTTTTCCATGTTGACCGAGAGGTTGTGCTGGTGTAGTGCATCCAGTACCTTCCTCACGTGTTCCTTGTGCTCTTCGAGGGTCTCGGAATAGATGAGAATATCATCCAGGTAGCAAATGGCGAATTTGTCGAGGTAGGGTCGAATCGCATGGTCGATGACAGATTGGAATGTCGCAGGTGCATTAGTCAACCCGAAGTGCATAACGAGGTACTCGTAATGTCCGTAGGGCGTGCGAAATGCTGTCTCCCATTCGTCGCCATCTTTGATGCGAATGTGGGCGTAGGCGACTGGTAAGTCAAGGCGCGTGAAGTATCGTGCTCCTCCTAGTTGATTCCGAATGCGCGAAATCAAGGGTAGGGGATAACTGTTTCTCACGGTCTCTTGATTCAGTTGCCTGTAATCAACACAAAGTCGTAGCTTTCCATCTTTCTTCGGCACGAAGAGGATGGGGTACCCTGCTGACGATGTGGATTCCCGAATGTGCCCTCTCTTCAAGTTCTCGTCCAAATACTTCCTCAACTCCTCGTTCTGCTTCTCGTTGGTATGATACACTTTGAAGAACTTGAGCTTAGCTCCTTCCTTGAACTTGATCTCGTGGTCCCACGGTCCTCGTGGTGGTAGTCCTTCAAGGTGCTTGCTGACGAAAGCCGGATGTCCGCGATATTCTTCCGGAATTGTCGCCTTCGGCTTTTCCGTCTGTTGGTTCTGGTAATAGTCAAACTTGTGCTGCGCGTTGACTGTCGATACCTCTACCAACGTCACTAACCCTTCTTCCGTAACCTTGCCGCTTTTGTCGATAGTACAAATCATAACTTCTTGTACTGCTTGCGGTGGGGCCGTAGGAACATCGCCATCGGGGCTTGCTTCCTTCCGTGCTCCGGGTCTCCCATCAGTGGTTGGGTGCGTCCGAGGACGCAGGTGGCCACAATCCTTCCAACTGATGTCTGGGTCGTATGCAACATGCCATGGGTGCCCTAGGATCATATCCTTAATTGGCCCCATATCGACGACGTCGAAGCTAATTTCGACCGTCTTGCTTTCTACCGTAATAGGGAATGGTATCGTTTCCCTTTTCACGATCTGTGTCTCGAAAGGTCTTTTTACTACAAAAGGTACCTTCTTTTGTTTCCAAGGGATTCTCAGTTAATTGACGAACTTGGGTGAAATGAGGTTCAACTGAGCTCCGGAATCTACCAGCGTGAGAGCTTGGCAGTTCCCCCAATGAGCTACGACCTTAAGTCGTTGGTCATCTTTCCCTTCTTCCGCAGCTGCGACCTCCGTGAATGCTACGGGGTCCTGGATCTTGTCTTTCCGTCGGCTGCTTCGTCGGATGATCCTCTTTATCCAGGGACTTAGTTTTTTGTCGGGCCTCCCTGAAGGCCCGGAACCGTTTCCCAATTCCTGGCTGTGGTTGTCAAGAGCGTCCTCTTCACGGGCTGTGGCTCGTCCAGCGAGCTGTGTTCCCTCAACCAAGCCGAATAGGCAGCTTCTTCATCTTCCGTGCGGTAACTCTTGCTCACTGTGAGCCACTGCGCCTGTGAGCGTCTGCATGTGCCATTAGATCCCATGTCGTCCCTGATAGGCTGTGTTGTTTGTCCGAGATGGGGCAGCCAGGTCCCAATTGTCTGGTCGTCCTTTGTATCACTTAAGTTTGTAATATAATGCCTTAACTGGCCTATAATAA